AATATATATATAATATATATATATATATATATATTATATATATATTGTTGGTCAAACCCCTATAATGTTTATTTAGATGTTTATCTATTTAAGATATGTAATTACAGTTAATATTTTCTATTAATAATAATCTAGTGATCTAATAATCAGCGGGGTTCAGGTCTGATGAACGCCGGTGTAAAGTGCACGGACCTCGGTCTCTCCGTAGTAGCCGCTGCCGCTCCAGTCCGCATGCTCGTGTCCCTCCATCTTAACGGCGCTGAGCATCGTGCACGCTCCCAACACTTAATGCATCCAAACGGCCTCACGCGAAGCGGAACAAAAACCCAAAACAAAAACAAACACACGAACCGAAGCCCGTCCTCAGCTGCCCGCCGGTGACGCTTGTCCGGTGTCTCCTGGCTGTTCAGAACCGGGTCTGGCTCACACCTGGGCGCGGAGACTGTCTGTGTGACCGGCTCTCTGCTCAGTGAGGGACTCTGGCACCTGCGCTCGCGCTGCTGCCGCGGAGCCAGTGTCCAATCAGCTGTCTCCGCTACCCCCCCTCCCCCTCCTCGAGCTCACACGCACATCCCGATTTGAATATATTCCATCTCGGCACGAGACTCCCGCCCCGTGGCCTCTCAGTAAATGATGTCATTACCTGTCCGATGTGCCCTGAGTACCTGTCCAATTACGCAGGTAATGTGTTACACTAAAGTAACTAATTTACTCAAGTAGCCGCTACTCAAGAGTACTTTTTTATTTTCTATACATCTCAGAGGTTAATATTGTACTTTTTACTGCACTACATTTAATATAAAACTTTAGTTACTTTAGTTACTTCACATTATATAATACTATATATTAATACAAAATATAATCAACTAATAGCTTATGATGTATTATTATAGGTTAAACTAAAACTTTATTGATCCTGTTGGTAAATTCACAAAACCAGCTGCAACATTAAATCATCAATAATCATAATTCAATAATGTATTGTTCTGAAACGAGCCATTCTGCATTATAAATATGAGTAATATCGAAATCAGGACTTTTACAACAGAGTATTTCTACGCTGTACTACAAGATCTGAGTACTTGCAATGATAACAATGAGAACTATATTATATATAGAACAGTTATTACAGATTGTCAATACATTAAATGGGGTTTGGTTTCATTCAAATCTTAAAGGTTATGACTGTAAAGTTTTTGACTTTGTAAATTGAAAACTAACTCGGCCCAAAGTCCATTTAGTAGCACTTCTGGAGCTTTCAGTCATATTTATGAAGTGAAAAGTACTTCTTCGTACTTCAGTTTCATGCTTTTCCCAGAAACTACAATAATTTGATCTCTGTGTGATGATTGTGACCATCGGAATGAACTTAAACTCATGAAAACAAACACCAATCACCCCTAAACTTTAGGAGGTCTCATGTTTAATTCATGTTCTGTTTCACAAAAGCTAACAAGCAGAGTGGAGACTGTTTGTGGGATCCTCCTCCTCCTCCTCCTCCTCCTCTGCAGGTTTTTACTGTTTGAGGTCTGTCCGAGTGTGTATTTACCTGGTGATGAATCTGAAAGGACGACAGGACGGTCGGTACACACGACCGAGGTGAAGGAACAAGAGGAGCCGGACCACCATGCTCTCTGCACACACAACCTGTCCTCCCTGTGTGGACGTCAAACAACCCCAAATATTTCACCTTTTGTGGTCCAGCGTAGCTCAGCGGGTCACTGAGGCTGTCGGGAAGCAGGAAGAGGCCTGAAATATCCGTGTGAGGTGGTGTGAAATTCTAGTCTGGCTTGTAATACAAGTTACTGACTGAAGAACAACCGCAGGAATGTTCCTTTTTAAATTTGACTATAAAAATAATCGTTTTAAAAGTGTTTTCCCCTCCAAAAAATACACAAAACTTGAAGCCTTCCTCAAGTTATACTTACAGGCTACAGGCTACTGTAAATATACTTATAGTTACATTCCACCACTGCCAAGAAACTGCATCAATAACTCAACACATGCATCTAATAATAATCCTAATAATATTATATGATTGTAATATTCTGTGTGTTCAGTAGTCCTGGAGTCAGGACAGTGTTAGCCTAGCTTAGCATAAAGACTGGAAACAGAGGGAAACAGCTGTCTGGCTCCTTGCAGAGTCAAACATATAAATATATACACCAGCGTCTCTAAAGCTCATTAAATAAAACATTGTATTTGGTGTGTTTGACTGGAAAAACATGCTCACTGCTCCCAGCTGTTACTTCCTGTCTTTATGCTAAGCTAAGCTAATTGATAAACATACTCCACAAACCATCAAACTATTCCTTTAAGAAAACCCCATCACACTTTTGCCCTTTTTATTCTTTAAAAAGTGACTTCAATGTTTTACTTCAGCTGAATAATCAATAACTTGACTAACCGTCGTGATATCTTGTGTTGGTTTACGTTGCTTGGCTGCTGAGGCTCATGGGTACTGTAGTTTTTAAACATGTCATGACAAACATTCAACTGATGGATGTCATGTGTTTGTATAAAGATAACTTTAAAAAGCCACTCGGATGAATTCTTCTTCAACCAAACTTCAGACTGTAATCTGATGAACAATTTGAGTTTCTTAGTTCAGATTTGTGCAGCTGCTGAGAATCCAGAGGGACCAGCAGAGACCATCAGAGACCTGCAGAGACCAGCAGAGACCATCCACACACTTTATAATCATAACCTGCAGCAGGTGTGCACTCACCTGAGAGAATACTGAGTCCACATGAAGGAAATTACGTTTACAAACACTCACAAACTGGTTTCTCTCAGAAAAGTCTGCTCATTAATTAGCATTTTATTGTCATGTTGTATTTAATTAATTTAATTGTGCATTTCACGGAAAACTATTTTATATCATGAGAAGTATTTAGGTCCTTTACAGCAGTATAAAGTACTACCACACAGTATGACAGTTTGTATGTTGCATGTTAACTCCTTTATATCCTGTTGGTTAGTTTAATCTACAGCAATGTATCATATTCTATAAGATCATTATATAGCGTCTTATTTTAATCATTTGATTTGGCTTCTTTCACTTGATTTTTAAGGATTGTAGCCTCATGAAATTAATAACTTTTTTTCTCACTGATCAATGCTTCTTCTCCTTTACATGCAGACTTCTCTCGGGTGAGAATCTGTGTCTCTTCTTTTAGTTTCTGCAGATAAAAACTGAACTTTCTTCTCATCTGAAACCTCAACAAGAACACACTGACACCTACTGGTGAGTTTATGTAACTACAGCTGGATGAAATCACAATTGTTACAAATAACAATAATTGATTTGTATCTTCTTTAAGGTGTAAGATGAAAGGCTAAAGCCTATGTGGTGTTCAAGTACTTTGTTTAGTTAATGGCTTCAACAAACCCCAATTTTAAACATGCATGTATGAATATATTTGATGGTAAAACCTTTTTCTGATCTTGTAAAAGTTCCATAGATTAATTATTGCCCACACCTTTATTTATTTTATATTACAGCACCATGTTTGCACTGAAAAGCAGTAGTGGATACTGCTTATGTAGGCTAAAAGTACCTATACTACGATATAAAAATGTGCTTTAGCAAGTAAAGGTTCTGCATTCAAAGCCTTAGTTAATTATCTGCAAAATAAGAAGGAGTCAAATGATTCCTTCTGCATTCAAATGTTCCCTCTCACTTCATCATCTAGTTTATCACAAACATTACACATCACCACTTTGAAATACACAGTTTTCATTCGACAGGAAACGGATGAAAAACTGTAATTTTGTCTCTTTCCAGTTAATCAAACAATGTTGAGAAAATATATATACAATTATTATTCTTATTATTTGTGTGATTATTGATAATAATCGTAAAGATAAAAGTTCTTATTATTTTTGTTATTCGTAGTAGTTTAATAACAGCAGGATCCCTCAAATTGTAAAAGTCGCAGCTGGTTTAGTTTTTACCAACCGCGCTTCCGTACTCCGGAAGTAGCAGTCATTTCGCTTCTACAAGGACGTCTGCGAACATTCAACGTTATTTTAACAACATTCACTGAGTTACTTTGATCATAGAGACTCACTCTGTTGTTTGTCTCTCACGTGAATCTGAAGGTGAGTTTATTTAAGAGTAAGAGGACGTAAACATGAAGATCAAGAGAACATTCAGGGTTACACGTGAAGATAAAACTGACTCCTAATAGTTTATTATCCTGTAACTTAAGTTATGATAAAAAACAGATGGATTTTGTGTTATTTCACTGTCTCTGAATGCATTTTATATTATTTTATATGTATGTTTACAAATATGATGAACCAGCTAAATGTACTTAGTTTTTAGTTTATTCTGCACAATTCAAACAATAAAATAAAAATAAAGAAACATAACGGAGATTAATAATATCACAGAGCAGGAAGACAACTGGGCTCATTTGAAGCCTCCATTTATATAATATTACAATATTACAGAGAACAGAACATGAATATGCATAAAATGTAAGTGTGTGTGTGTGTGTGTGTGTGTGTGTGTGTGTGTGTGTGTGTGTGTGTGAGAGAGAGAGAGAGAGAGAGTGAGTTAGCCTGGGCTTGTGTTTGTAATTTACTGAAGTATCACCAGTAAAAGTACTCGTTCTGCAGTAACGTTAAAATGTGTTTGGTTTGATACAGCAGAAAAAAACACAAATTCACAATGATACATGTCTTTTTGTGTATTTTGATAGTGTCAAAAACAGACAAAATTCTGTTACTGTGAATTTTGGCAAACCATTTTTTATTATAATACATTTCAAACACTTCTGCAGACACTTTACCAAAATGCATCAGGCTACAAAACTGAAACACATCTATTATGATATATAATTATAAAATACAAGTTAACCTCAGTTAAGTTTCAGGGCAGAAACTTGCGCTTGTGAACTTTGGTTCCACATTAATCTACATTCCTTAAATAATGATGCATGCGTGCACAAAATGCAGCAGAAATCATTTTAATATCATTTAATTACATGCTGTGAATGTAAATCATATATATATATATGAGCTAATTATCTGAATCTGGTGATTATTCTTTCAATCAATTTTATATTCTTGGTAAATAAAATGTCAGAAAATTGAGTGAACATACTCCTTAGTTTCACAAACAAGTTCATGTCTTTGTAAATGTGAGCGTACTGAAGAAGGAGGACGGTATTATGAGTGTCTTCGGTTACATTGTTGTTAAAGTGAGATAAAGTAGTGTGTGTGTTTCTCCTCAGATGCCTCCTAAACCTCTGGAACCTCTGGCCAAGAAGCTGATGAAGGGACTGATCGCTCTGGAGCTGCTGGGCGTCTTCGGTGCGTACGGTCTGTTCCACAAGATGAACAGCAGTCAAGGTATCAGATATTGGTTATTATTATCATTATCAGAGTATTTTACTGGAACAAAGTCTGATCTGTGTTTCTGAAAAAATCCTGTTTTATTTCCACCTCAGATTTCAGGAACACAATGAACAGAAGGTTTCCATCAGTTCTGGAAGGTGAGAAGATATTTATTATTTATATTATATTTATTTTCAACATGTACTACGACTTTCTTCATCACATTATTCAACATGCT